CCTCCCTCAGTCCAAACACATACAGGTTCATTGGTGAATCCAAATTGCCCATGAGTGTGAATGGTCGGTTGGCTGGTAGACTGGCCACCTGCCCAGGGTGTACTCCACCCTTGCTCCATGTCAGCTGGGATTGGTTCCAGCCTCCCTGCGACTCTACAAAGATACGTGGTATGGATAATGATTGGATGTACAGGCGAGACCGCCCACCCCTAAGATACTACCCTATAGGTCGTCTGCTCAAAGCAGCTTAATACAACCAATAGTTATGTCATCTCAAGCAGCTGTAGTAATTACGACAGGAAAGAAGGAGGAAGTCAGGTGATGTAGCACTATGGACACATAGTTGTTTTCATTTGTACTCCGTTTGGAGGATGCGTTCCATACTTGAGAAATAGATCGTGGTCTACATATTCTGCGCTTGTGCCTTCTCTTCGTCTTCTTGTAGGTGATGGTAGCAACGGACCTTTTCAACTTATAGCATTGTAACTACTTGTTGTATCTGAGGGTAGGGACAAGTGACCTAATGGCCGTTGAGGTCGGAGGACTTGTTGGTGCCATGTCAGATATTAATTTGGGCTCTGTTCACTCAGTAATCATGTCTCTTATTCCATGAGCCATGTTTGATTTGTCCTGTTCGGTATAACGGCTGCATGAAAGGAGCATTTTCCCTCCAAAAAGATTGTCTTTGAGACTTCTGCAGGTCCATATCTTTCTTTTTCTTTTCTTCTTGCTTTCTGTTTAAAGATTCATCACAAAGATGTGTGTGTTGGCTGTATAGAAAAGATAATTATAATGTGTAGTGTGAGTTATTGCAACATAAAAGATTAATACGTTTGTAGATTGCTGCATTCACTTGTAGTTTAGTATACCTTAAACACTGGCATATAGTTTGACCAGAACTATGTTGAAAGTAGCCACATTTCAGCAGACACTAACTGGACATGTTACTAATGAAATTATGCTGGTTCCTTTTCAGAATAAAGCTCTGGACCAGCAGACGTGTCTGTTTGATGACTCTTCCTCATTTTTACTGCATGTTGCAGCTGGCTGGTTTCATTGGAGTCTTTGAGGAACGGAGGGCCCCAGTGTTTGTTTTAGAGCCAATAAATTCACACTTGACAAACTGCTGCTGCGACCTCCGGCCACACAGAGACGAGTCGAACTGTAAATTCCCTCCAGAATGATTGGCATTTCATTTAGAGGCCGACACCGGCGGAGAGTGCAAATCTGCAGGGCTCTGCTGACTCAGTTGAGTGATCGTGTTTTGCTCAAGCAGACATCGAGTTAGTGATTTAATCCGAGCCGCAGATAGAAGAGATCAGTGAAGATAGAGTCAGAGAGGAGAGATGATCTGAGCCTCTGTCGCTGCTGCTAAACCAATGTTACTGATAAAATCACATGTCTGTGAAACAATTACCAAATATTCCTGCATGGACTGATAGAGTGTCTGTCATATTGAGTGGTGACTGAACAATATTAAACTATAAATTTGATAAAATTCATATTTGACTGGATAAAATCACTGTTAGCTGAAATGAATGGGAAATTGGGTAAAATTAAAAAAGAAATCAAAGATATTCAGCACAATGCCATTTAGCTGCGGATATTTAATTATAATCATTTCTCCAATCCTTTTTTTTTTAAAAAAAAAGCCATCAATGCTTTTTATTTTGTCTTGATTTTTAATGAGAAGACAGATGAGCCTTAAATAAAATCCTCCAAACTTGAGAAAAAACAATTCCACCTCACCCCAAATTATGCTAAATATTATACTAATAAAATACTGAAGCCTGATCACCTTATGAGCAACACACACCGGTAAACTCCAGTAGCATCTCGACCTATGACATTGTTTGTTAATGGTCGTCAGATCATCAGATTGGCCCATCACAGCTACTGTACCTCTTCTGTCTCTATGATGTGGCTCATGTCTAGTTGTGTTCACTGTCAGTGACACCATAAAGCATCCTGGTAAAAATTCATTTGCATGTCTTTGTGATTAGGTGGCGCTGGAAGTCACAACTCCTGTAGCTGAGGAGCTAACCTCTAAGTAGTACGGTAGTACTAACTGTTAGCACAAAGCAAAGCTGCGTGGCTAGCTCCTTTGCCAACTGGACTAAAAGTTTAAAGTTTATTTGTATTTGAGCCATCGACTCATTTGCAGAGCAGATTTATATAAAGTTGGAGGATGACAGTGTCAACAGTGCAAATTAGCATGTTGAACGTCAGAATCAAAACATCGTACGACGAACAAATCCGTTAATTCCACTGATTCAGCTGCAGTGAAATTCAGGGATTTTTGAAATGTAAAAGAAAAAGTCCCCCAAAAAAGCCCAATATTTTTCCACACATTGTCCTTGAAAAGGTGTTATTTTTTTTCATAATGTTGCTACATACTCGTTGAGGTTTCATGAGAACTTTATTTATACAAAAACAAAACATCATGATTAATATCTGGTACTGCTCGTACAGCACAGGCCCAAACAACACACAGGTCTTCAATCAATCAGCTGATTTTCACGTGAAAGATGACTGTATAAACAAAACACAACCTGGAACCTGAGCTGTGACCCAAAATGAAAAAAAAGTGAAACATGAGTAAGAAATGAGACCTTGTTCAAAATGTTCAAACCAAATACTATAAACCTAATTGCATCAAATCCACTCCGCAGCAGCAATACAGCAATATGAATACAGTCATGAGTTTAAAGCTATACAGGAAGTATACCTTTCAGAATAAGACGCTGTACTACTGTATAATGGCAGCGCTAGAAAAGCAAAGCTTCTACAGACAATAGCAGGATCTGACTGAAACTGCTGTGACCCTGATAAAAGCTGTGATCTCACTAATCACTACTCTAGAATAAATAAATAAATAAATGAAACTCTGAATATCAAGCGGCAAAACTGGAAAAAAAAAACATTCATACACTAAAAAGCAGCAGTGCAGAAAAAACTTTAAAGCCACTAACAGCAGAGCTCAGACCACCTTAAATCCACTACACTATCACCACTAGGAGTAATTAGTTTGTCTGATGTCTACAATAGAGCAAACAAAGATCAGCTTTGTGCCTCCATTAGTTGTGTTACTGTTTGATAGGTTTTATAACTGGTTAAATACATGTGCTGCTCAGTTCGACTTAAAGTTGCACTGGACAAAGATTTTTTTATCAAATGTTGATGTTAAAACACAAAACTCTATTTAAAATTCTTCTGGAGATCCTCAAGTTAAAAAACAAACAAACAGATATTTCAGGATGAAGTTTGGTGAAATGAGTCATATGATGTTTTGATATTGAATATTTCACTATAGAGCTGGGATGTGATGATAGAAAATAAATATGTGACGTTAAATGTTTGTCAGGAATTTAAAAAATCTATGTAAATTTTTAAGACATTTTATGCCTTTAGTAGATTCATTCATTCTTGTCATTGCAAGGTTATTTATTATCTTATCTTATTCTATCTTTGATTTTATTTTACTAATTTTTATGCCTCAGAGTTGGTGCCACTCAGAGCTGGTGCCACTCAGAGCTGGTGCCACTCAGAGTTGGTGCCATATAGTTTTTGGGTTGTCCATATGTCCATCTCATTCTTGTAGACACGATATCTTGTAAATGCCTTGATGGAATTTCTTCAAATGTGGCACAAATGTCCACTTCAATGTGGAGGATGATGACGAACTGAATAGATTTTGATGGTCAAAGGTCGAGGTGCAATTTTGTCCTTGTGTACGTTATACCTCCGTAACGCACTGAAGGAATTTCTTCAAATTTGGACTCAAATTAGATTTTAGGGGGCAAAGGTCAAAGGTCAAGGTCAGTTTGACCTCACAAAACAGTTTTTAGCCATTACCCAAGACTTCACAGCAATTATGACAAAGTTTCACACAAATGGTTCATATTTTCTCTGACTCTGGATAAACAGGGATGTAACCTGAAACTAGTCTGAGTGGAGGAGGCAGACAACCATGAGGAGGTGATTCTAGTTATTCTTTCTCTGGCCTTGATGGTCCTACTTCAGTTGTGTTTTGTTCTGTACCGGACTACCCCCGATAAATCCTACATTGTTTGAAAGCTTTAAGTCTCCTGATTCCATCTGTGCAAAGCGTTTTAGGATTTTTCGATATCACTGCAACAGCCCAGTTGGTTCAGACTTGTGGCTCCTCCTGTCGTACTGCCACAGTTCAGCTCGTCAGTGTTTATTTATCCCACATGACATGAACTCATTACATTTTACTGATGTTGGATATCCAGTGAAATCTCTTTACCTGGTGCAGTTAACGTGTCCCTCAGCCATCACCACAGAGTTCACTCTAACTTCAGCTCCTTCTACTCCTACTGCTTTGGCGTACAGAAACCAGTCTGACGTTGAATCCGTGTTATTTTCTTCTTCTCTCCTCACCAGGCTTCTCAGAGACCAGCTGAGGCCTGCACGGACCACTTTCACCTCCCTGCTTTTTGGCAGTATGTACGACATTATATGTACATCCAGATAAAAGATCAAGACACAGACTTCACATCAACATTCATCAGCCTTTTGCCGTCTTCCTTCTTGTGCCATCTTGTGCAAATTAACCTCATCTGGTTACTAATAACAACACAACTTGTTAACAATCTCACATCTCTTGAAATTTGGACTCACAAATTAGTCAAACTCCTTTTTATCTAAAACCCTGAACCTCAATTCTTCTTAGTGCATCACAAATAAAGTTTCTCACATTTGTGTCTGAGTTTGTATCAGATCAAGAGGTTTGAATTATGTAACTGTTAAAAACTGTCACACGTAACATTTAATGGAGTAACCTGATTTAATAAATATCATGTATTAATTTACCCATCTCAATAACTTCTTCTGTTTTAAAACATTCAAACCAATTAAAATGTGCATCCTTGTTGTCGACCAATCACAGACCTTCTCTCTAAATCTTCCAAAAGTGTCCCGCCTTCTCTTCATATCAGCGCTGTCCTATCACATTCGATCTACTTCCTGTAATCCTCCTATCCTATCCGGGTGGCACTGGACTCCTCCACGGGCCCCTCCCTCTTGGTTTCCAGGCCGACCTCGGTGTAGGTGACCCCCGGGGACGGCACCGGTGACTCCTCGGCCTGACCGTGGGTGTGGAGCTCGGGGTCGGCCTCAGCGCCCTCCTGGCCTTCGCCGACGGCTCTCTCCTTCTTCAGCTTGATGCGGAAGGTCTCTTTGTTCGGAGCCTTCTTGGCGATGTTCTCCTTCAGCCGTTCGCCGGACTGCTTCAGCCGCTCACCGGCCTGGTGCATCTTCTCCCTCCGCTCGGGCGGCATCACCTTCTCACCAAGGTGGTGGAACTTGGTGCCCAGGTTGTCTTTGGTTTTGCTCATGTTCTCCTTGGAGAATGCGGCCTTCAGGGTCTCCGTGCTCTTCACGACCGATTTCTTGAGGCGAGCGGCTCGTGAGGAGTCGGTCTCCTCCACGCTCAGGTACTCTTCATCTGAGGAGAGGTCGGCGGGGATGTCGTAGGAGTCTGGATCAATCTCCAGTCCGTCCAAGCCGGTTCCTTTAGGAGACTTGGTGACGGCCACTGATGGGATCTCCGTCTCACCCTACAGATGAGAAAACAGATTGAACAGCAGTTTTAGTAACTGTTGTTTCCAGGTATCCATGGAAGAGCCGACTGGGAAATCAGGACTTCCAAAAACAAGGTCAGAAAGAAACAACAAAGGCCTCAGAGCATGGATGGACAGTAAAACCTACCCTCAGACTGTTAACCATTTACTGTTTATACCATTTACATCTCTGAGCCTTAAAACCAGCCGTCAGGACTTCTGGAGCTTTGTGATGTCACAACAAAACAGTCACCACCCTCAGCCATGCCCCAAGCCCCGCCCACCGGGACCTACCATCCAACCTTGCAGGATTTGGTTTCTCTGAGTGTTTACCTGCTACATTTTTATTGGATCACTCAGAAAACGTCAGAAAGTCAGCTCAACTCAGAGCCTCCTCTCTTCTGATTGGCTCACTGACCTGTTGTTACAAGAGCTCCAGAGAGAAGCCTGAAAGAGGAGATGTAAAACTACATTGAGATGGTTTTTGGTTCTTAAAACCACAAATATATCTTCTTATGGATCAACACTTCAAGTAAAACACAGGAGAAGAGGGAAATGTGGAGTTTTAATTGCAGGATTAGCCTAAAACAGAAATTTGCATTTATAAAGTTTGACGATAGATTTTACTACAGTAGATATTTTTTCCAATATGTCTTGCAATATGCGAAAATCCCTTGCACTTAATGCATGAACCATGACCAGAGGCGTCTTTTTAGGCTTCAAATCTGTTTTCTTATGTCTTAACGGGGAGAACACATTATTTCAAGGTTGTTAGCTCTGGCGCTAATTGTGGTCACAGCAGATACACAGCTCCAATGAGCTTCTTTTGTTGTGTTACAGATTTGAAGCAGAAACCAGATACAAACAAACAGCTGCTATAAAATGAGCTGAAGTGTAAATACTGGATTTAATGTGGATGTAACTTTGGCCAGCGTTGGTGAATTTGCAGCCATCAGTTTGTTGACTCGTCTGTGGGTCTTTTCATCAACCAGGACGCATCCTAGAATTACAAAGTTGGAGGCCAACATGAATGATTTTTCCCACTCAGCTGCTCCTAATTACGATTTAAAGGATATGACGTGAATGTAGTGTAAGTGCAGAGCTGTATTGATTTGGTATTGAGCCGTGAGCACTGCCAAAACGTGTCTGAGCCAGATGCATTGTTGCTGAACGTGTCCTGTTAAGACACTGACAGAGGACTGAAGAAGCTGCTGCTGCTGCTGTGGAGCCTAGACAACACATTGGACTTAAAGGCCTTGCACACCTGTAGTCCAGGTGTTTCCACTCCTTCACTACGTTAAAGCTGCTGACCTAATATCATTTCGGTCAGGCAAGTTATCTGAAAACACCTGGACATGCAGAGCCATTCATTTCACCCCTTAAAGGAATACTCTGACATTTAGGACAGCTTCCTCCCTCCTTTACTTTTAATATTAAGCTAGGCTAAACACGTACTGGACCTGTATCTGTACTGGACACATGAAGATGAAACTGATATCCATCTGAAACAGATCTGACTCTGGAGAAGATCAAGATCAAGAGAACAGGATCTTCCCATTAAATACGTTTTTTGCTGGATTTCTAATCGTTCTAATCTAAGCTCTGAATCTGAATCCTCTTGCTTCTTGTTTGCTCTTTAAAGATTTTGCGGCTGCACTTGCACAAAACCTCCCAGACCTAGAAAACCAATACCACCATCTTCTCATCTGTCTCTTCTGTGCATTAGGAATAAAAAACTATGCTTCTTGTTGAGATGATGGAAGCTGAGATGGAAAACATGATATTCCTTTGAGATGCTCGGTCAGACCCGACCTGCGAACACACCAGCCATCTTAATGAGATCAAGTTGTTCTATTTTGGGGACAAGTAACTGAGACTCATTCAGACAGGAAGCCACTGGCAGCAACGACACCTGTAACTCAAGACAGGTGGTATAATAATAATAATAACTAGAAAATTCCAGGGAAATTTTGAGTGCCACGGGGGCTACTGCCGGGATGAGTACATGATTTATTTCCAGTGTTCAAAAGTCACCCTGATCATATTCTGGTTTTGAGAAATATCTTGATATAAAAGACTCTGATATAAAACAATGTCACATCCCTCCATCATGTATTATGTGGGAAATATCTCATATTCTGTGTTGTTTTTTTTAATAAAACAAGAGGAAACATGTCTTCAAACTGGCATTTAAAGGGTTAAAATCCTGAAAACTAATAAACATTTGGTAGGTTTGAGCAGAACTGAAGTGGTTTAAGAGATGTATGCAAAAAAAAGCAGAAAAAAATATTGATATATGATGATTTTATAGCATTTTCTTTGTGTGTCCTTTTTTGGACGTGAGGAACCCCAGAGGGTACAAAATGTGTTACCAGTGTATAATAGACCTGTAACAGTAACTGACATTAGATTTTAAAAATATGTCAAAAAAGACACTTTCTTGCAGAAATCCATACCTTCAGCTGTAACACAGCCAAAATGATCAGCAAATCAAAAAAGAAAAGTGAAGAAAATGTCCAAAAAAGGACAGAGGGACCCCTGAGGGTTAATAAATCCCATGAACCGCTATTTAAATTACCACTATTATGTTTTTTTCGGTGCTAAATTTAACATTACTGGGGAGGAGAGCAACGCGACTAGAAGTGACAGCGAGAGAGGGCTAGTAGCTTCTCCTCTCCTCTGTCTCAGCGGAGACCGTCACAACTTCATTCACTCATTTAACAAAACAAAAAGAAAAGCAACAAAGGAAGCAGTAAATGGACTTACATATTTAAGACCTAACTAAATGTAATTTAAGACCTAACATGCGGCTAATGTAAAGCTAGCGGAGCTTGGAGAGTTGGTTATCTGGTTGCTAGGCACGCACACACGCACACAGGTCAGGAGCTGCCGTTGCCATGGCAATGTGAAAATCTGCCCAGAATTTGGCTTCTACATGGCTTAAAACAATTGCAAATTATGAGAAAACCGTTACTTCTTTTCAAAAACCGAAAACACCGTGACAGACACTGAAGCCAGAAGTTTCTTACAGTCTCTATTTTATTCAGATATTCCTTAAAATGAGTGAGTAAGCTCAGTGCGAAGACAGAGTGAGATTCTTTTGAAAAAAAAGACGATTACATTAGGTGTCAATGAGAGTGAGACAGGTATTGCTGCCGGACTCGGCACCCCTGTTTAAATTTTGTGCAGACCCTGCCTGTCAAAGTTACATTTTATGAATCCCAACAACTATGTCTACATTTTCAGAAAGAATTATTTGTCTCCTTTTTACGGTTTGGCCGTGAGCTCGAGTTAAAAATAAAAATAAAGGTTATTTTTTACTGCTTCACGCACTCTAGCCAACTGACGCTGTCACTCTAACTTTGAAGAAAAAGTGATTTCCACTCCTCCTTTGAGTGCTCATAGTTTGAAAAGTTTACATGTTATGTAAAAACAGTTGTTGTGTTTTGGAGAGAGCAGAAGTTTTCCTCCGTTTTATAGTTTGAATCTCATTTCTACGTGCAGGTATGAGAGAGCTGGGTGACTCAGAAAAAAGGTGAAATTTTGTAGAAAAAAGGTGAAATTTTGTGGGTTTCTAAAGAAAATTCCAATGCATTCCTAATGCATTATTTATTCCCAGTATTTTTGGAATAACTTTGGGAAAAATTGGAATTTTAACACCAAAAGTCATAGCACCTCTTTCGGGATCAAGACGCACATTTTGATGTATATATTACCGGGGGTTTCTCAAAGCTGCCAAAATTTGGCGGAAGAATAATAATAAGCCCGAAGGCACTCCTCTCAGCTATTCTAGCTGTAGAGGAGTGCCTCGGAGCTGAGCCCCCGTGGCACTAATAATAATGGCATCGTCTGGTTTTAGCAGCGGGGGTCGTGATGATCTGGCCACCACTTTGTTTAGACTGAAATATCTCAACAGCTATTGGCTTGATTGTGAGGAAATGTGGTTCGTGCATTTACAGATTAGCTGGTGCATTTATATGTCTGAGTCTTGGAATACACATACACATTTATATATATATATATATATATATATATATATGTGTGTGTGTGTGTGTGTGTGTGTGTGTGTATACACACATTTTGAAAGATGAGATTGCATTTTGTCTTTTATAAAATACACCAAACCTTTATTTTATCATTTCAAAAATGCAGGACTGTCATACGTTCCCTGACGACCAACAGAAACAAACCAGCTCCAGGAGGAACCTGCTCCACCTGCTGCGCCCTACAGGTGACTTTGGATGTGAAAGCCAATTAATCCTAATTAAGCTGCGGCCACCTGCAACGATCACACTCATTAATCAGGGAGGAGTCATCAGAGCACGTCCAGACACTGTGAATGACACAATAATTACAGCGGCAGCGAATGTGGGTCGATGCCTGTATTAATAACCTCGGGGGGTGGTGGTGATGCAGGGGGAGAGAGAGAGAGAGAGAGAGGCTCAAGACCTGAACTATCATCATATGTACGACACTGAGATCTGAAACTAATTCAGTAATTATGTTAATACACACACACATGAACCATCCCAGAGTTTTCAAAGGTTCCACATACTGCAGTGATACTGAGGTTCATTTTTACTAGCTAAGTAAGTTTTAAAGGAACTTTTAAAGGAACTTTTGATATATTGGTTAAAAAAAATTAGTTTTCTTGTTGAGGAGTAGATGGTTGGATTCTACCATTCTCATGTTTGGGTGTGGCTACAGCCAGCAACTAGTTAGCTTAGTTTAGCACAAAGACTGGAAACAGTGGGAAACAGCTAGCCTGGGTCTGGGTAAATGTAACATAATTCATTGTTCCACCGCGTCCTATTAACACACCTGAGAAAATATTTAGTGAGAACCACTTCACTTTTGGGAATTATGTTTTTAATTTATCATATAAAACTGTAATGTGAAATGTAAAGCCCGCAGTAATTCTTTACAGTCACAGCAGAAAATATTCAAGTAGCTGTATGGTTTTCTCAGGTTTTTTTTATTTTTTTTATCATACTAAG